ATTAAACATCTGTTACAGTAAGGAATGCACCTGACTGCAGCACTGATCCATGGCTGTACATTTCCAGAACAGCCAACAAACCCTCATTTGCCAACACAGAATTATTACCTCCCGAGGGAATTCGGAATCAAAAAAATTAAAAATACTGCACCAACACACACCATTTTTCACAGTATCTTAAAATTCTGCACATTGCCAAAATAACACCATAGAATTGTGCCAGTTACTCAATAAGTATGTGAGTAACGATACAAAGAATCAGAAAACGTGTGTGTGGGAGGGGGGGTGGTGTTGGATTAAATTCTTTTCTAGGCATATTACTACGGAAGTCTGAGTAATAGTTGTCATTTAAATGACAACAGAGAAGCATGTTTCCTGCACCCCATAGGCCCAGGGCAACGCCTTGGCGTAGTGCGGGGGGATGGAGGAGGGAATAGCTGGGAAAGAGCCTTTGCACGAACCTGGAGGGCTGTTGGGTATGAATGGGAGAAGTATGGAATGGGATTGGTTTTTTGGAGGGGGATTGGTAGGGAATTGGGGAGCCTGCCCCATGCAGAACCCTGGCCCCTGTCATTCAGACACTTCTGTCCCCATTCTCACATGTCCTTGCACACCCTCCCCCCATATGCTGTTCTCACACGTCCTGGGACCCACCTCACCCATGCACCCCCTTCCTCCTATCACCATGCATCTCTGATTCCATCCCCATCACCTCCCTCTCCCCACTCAGCCACTCCCCATTCCCATGCAGTCCTGAACCCTCATTCAGCCTCTGCCCCACCCCCCAGCCTTTCTGAACCCCAGTCTGTGTGATGCTCTACCAACTCTCTGTCTTTTCCCTCCATGGGTGCCTCCTCACTTGGCCCTTTGGGCAGGGCACTGTGAGGAACGCAGCCTCTGCTCTCTCCTTATCAGCTGCTACAGCAGGTGAGCAGCTGCCCCTCTGTTCTGGCACCACAGCAGCCCCCGGTGAGCGAAATGTGTGAACCGTGTGTATTTCCTGCGGAGGGAAAAAAATATCTGGCGGGGGACATGAATTGGGTGCACGTGCAGTGGTGCGGAATACTCCCAGGAGTGAGACCTGCAAGCAAGAACTTACGTTCACCAGGTGCAGATTCTAGGATCTCAAAATACAAAGAGCCCCAATTAATGGGCTTAGGATAACGGCCTTCTGATCCCTTCCTTTGTGGCTACACGCCTAGAGGCAGATTCTCTGCTCTGCTCACGTGGTGCAATTAGAGCAGAAAATGGTATGGCCGAGGTCCCAGGGGTCTCCTCCCCAGTCCTGTTGCCATCCTACTCACAGGCCCCAGGAGGAAGGAGTGCGTCAGGGCGAGCATGAGTAGTCAGAGCATGCTGTGCTCTGAGTGTCTCCAACTGGTGTTTGATCCCATGGGGACTGTCACCTGCTGGCATAGTTGCATCAGGGCCAGGGAGAAATCAGGGAGCCCTAAGTGGCTCCCTTCATGGCTTAAACTCCGGAAAGCAGAAATTCCAACTCCAATTCCACAATCTCAAAAGCCAATTACAGCCCTTTCCGCTCACCTGAAAACCATCTGCCACCCACCCAGCCCTGCCCAAAACCCACTGAGCCCCCTTCATGGTAACAATGTCACTCCAGGGCTCTCTCAGCACCCGGTGACACCTTATGGAGCATTTGCCAACCTCCTCCGCTGTTCTCTTCAGCTTCCATACCTGTAATTATGGCTTCCGGGGATCGTTCCCAACCCAGAGTTAATGCTCATATTGGGTGTGACAATGGGAGGAATCACCGCGCCTGGGTTCTTTGTGTAATCCAGGCTGCTGCTGGAGTCTTTCATGCTCGTCGGAGGGACGGTTTTGAATTGACTGGTCCCGCCGTCATACAGGCAGTTCCTGTTGGAGGATCGGTCGGCTCTCTCCGCCCGCCGTCATACAGGCAGTTCCTGTTGGAAGATCGGTCGGCTCTCTCCAGCTCAGCTTTGGATAATTTCACCTTGAGCAGTTTGGAATCTTTGCTCTTTGGGTCAGCGTTGAAGTCCTGTTTAGAACGAGAAAGTGTCACTCTGGCCTGGAGGCTAGCACCGAAGTGAGCACTAGCTCGCGGCAGCCTGGGGGGAACTAACAGGAAAGGCACCGCGCGTAAGGAGCCGAGGAAGCATCGCGATGTTATGAAGACAAACTCCCGTTTTCCCATCAGCAAAGGGTAGCGTTCGTAATTCACAGAAGAATTATCGAGTCTCGCCGTCCCATGCACATAAGTTATCTGGCTATAGCTCACCAATGCACGAGTAATAGAACAAAAGAGCTGCCGGGGGGAACTAACAGGAAAGGCACCGCGCGTAAGGAGCCGAGGAAGCATCGCGATGTTATGAAGACAAACTCCCGTTTTCCCATCAGCAAAGGGTAGCGTTCGTAATTCACAGAAGAATTATCGAGTCTCGCCGTCCCATGCACATAAGTTATCTGGCTATAGCTCACCAATGCACGAGTAATAGAACAAAAGAGCTGCCATTTGGGAGGGGCGGGGCGGGGGGGGGCGCCTGCAAGCACAGGGGGGGCTGGGGGTGGCCTGGAGCGACCTCCCCCCCCCAATGGGAGCTGCATCACATAAGCACCCCAATCTCCTGCCCACTCCTGCATCCTCCCTTCCTCCCAGACTTGCACCAGTAAGCCACAGGTGGGTGGGTGTTTCTCAATTTAAAAATAAACTAAATCAGACTTTATCCCATCCACATTTTTCCTTGTGAGCAAAACATTAATTGATCAGACTTGGGATTGCCTCAGAATATAAAGCAATAGTATTTGTAGACACCAAATTGCAGACATATAAAAGAGTTGGATAATGTACAATGATCAAATGGCATGGATTTCCTATACAGCACGTGCACTTGGAATAATTTTGAAATGATACACAAGGATCTTTTTTCAAAATAGGTGGCAGGTGCCCACTGAGACCGCAATCTGGAGAGAACAATATAATGAAGAAAGAAAAAAAAAAAAGATGTACAAGTGTAACCCACACACCTAGTGTGGTTACTGAGTACTGCAAGTGGCACCTAGACCACTGCAACAGTTAAGATCAAGAGACCTCTACAGCAGGGGCTGGGAGCCAGCTGGCTTTTAGCTCCTAGAGTCAGCTCCCGAGGTCCCAAGTTCAAATCCGCCTTGGTGGTGGTTATGCAAGCACTGGTGCAGGGCCAAATAACACAGACTTTACTGAGAAGCCATGCCCTGAAAACCTGGTGTCTCAGGTAGGACACCCAAGAACCAAGACATCACCAGTCACTTGAAAATTTTGGCCAAAATCCTCCGCTGAGGATGATTTGTCAACAGCCTCCAGAGCATTACCCCTGAAAAATGTTACAGCATGAAACACCACGGTGGAGCAACAGCCACAGCAGATAGCCCACAATGAAGCTGAGGGTTTTTCACATCACAGCCTCTATGCTGCATGTGACCCAGCAACAGAATTGACAGATTTAATATACTGCTTATGACTAACACTGCCCAGCTGGTGCACAAGCATTTTCTGCATCAGTTACAAATTCAGAGTGACCTACCAGGGTAGCCTTGTTTTGCATCTGGCAGTGATTTCATCCAGGTATAAGAAATACAACTAGGTTAAGGGAAATTAACTGAAAACTTGAAAAACTCTTCCATCTCACTGCTTTATAAACCTGGCCAGTTTTTCCACCATTCAAAATTTTCTACAGTTTTTTTTTTTAAATAAAACATTTCCCCAATTTTTAAAATAATTTTAATTGGATTTTATAATCAAGATTGTCCAATGCATCTTTGTTGACCAACCAAATTTAGTGATGGAGAAAAATAAAACTAAACATGGTAAGTGAATGCTAAAAAACTGAGATGAAAAAAGTTGGGTCAAAAACTCGCAAATGATTAACATTTTTAAGAAAAGCAGTAGTTTCAACAAACATTCTGTTTCTGATAACCGACCAGATTTATTGGAAGAGACAGGTCTAGATCACAAAAACATTGTTCCAAGTTATGCTTACCTTACCAGAAAGTGATGAAAGACGGCGCATTTTTAAATAATGGAATGTAACAATATCTGCACACTTCCCTATCTAATTCCAGAAGTGGGGCATCTGTATACCAAAACAGTGGGGGTTTTTTAAAAGATGAAATGAATACTATTATGGAAAACAAAAATAAGATCTACTAACCTGAATATCAAGCATTTTTCTTTCTTCTCCTAAAGAATCATCTTTGTCCTTTTTGGTGATTTTTGATTTTTTTGGCAAAGGATGATCCCGGGCATCTTTCTGAAGCTTTAACCTAAGTTCCTGAGCAAATCTACATTCCATATTAAAAATAAACAAAGCCGCTTCCATTAGTACAAAATCTCCGCAACTTGGTATTCACCCCAGGCCCAGTCAAATTACTTGAACAAGAAGTCAAACGATTCCTTTTCTTAAAATGGGAAACTGGCCAAACTGAATTACCCATTAAAAAGCCTCACACATTAGATGCATCAGGCGGCAAATGACGATCCTGCACTAATTTGGCTGGAGTTTAGATACGGTTGGTGAATATAGCGTGATGTGAATTAGTGCTGGTGAGGAGACCTCATCCTGAATGCTGGCCACTTCTTGCTGAATAAACACTGGGACAAAGGTACAGCATTCCTTCTTGAGGTAGGAAGCTTCAGTCTTGTGTCCCAGTTCAGTGGCGCGCTCTGCTGCATGCAGTGCCCAATGTAACGTATCTAACTTTCCCTTGCTATAATTATTTTCCTTTTTCTGCCAATCACGGAGAAAGTCCTATGCCCTTGTAATGCTAAACACACTGAAGGTCTTTATCAGAAAGTGCAGTTCTACTTTGCAAACTGACTAGGTAAAAATGGTACCATGTGGGGTGTCTGGCAGTTTCCACATCAAATGTGCTCAGTTTACACGTCAAGTGTTGTTGTTTTTCCTAACTGCCAGCCCTGCAAACTCAGCATGAAACCTCCCAGACCAGTGGCATTATCTCCTTTCTTCCCCTGCCATTGTGACCAAGAAGCAAACAGACAACCTACCTTTCCACAAATCCATCTTTATTAAAGAAGTCGCACTGCAATAGGTCAGCACAGGATGGCCTTTTGTCTGGATCAATCTGCAAGCATTTCTAAAAGACCAAGGTAAGTTTTGATAAGCAACTGCAGTAGAATCAAATTTAAAACCCCTTTGTATTTCTAAATAAAAGCCATAAAAAAAGTAAGAAAACAGAAATAGAAGGGCAAAAGTTATAGAAGAAAATACCGCTACTGTGTGATTAAGTGATGTAACCAGGGAAGACAACCTGGAGGTATTTAACCATGTTTGCTTGCTTCAGCTATTTTAGACAGTGACACTTGGAAACTCTTTCCATACGGAGTTGTTGCCTTGCACAGACATCAATCTGTCTCCTAAACTGTAACTATCTCTTTAATGTTTATTATTTTAATGTTTTGGGGGCAGGATTTTACATTGTGGTCTATATTAAGCATTAGAAACCAAATAAGTTGTGTTCAAGTGTTATTTTATTTGGCCAACTAAAAATACTGTATTCCACAAGTTCATACACACACAAAATGGCAACATAGTTTCTGGCAGCTAATTGCCATTGTAACTGAAGCAGAAAATGTTGTGGTGGAAGATGAAGGGCAGCCTCGTTTCTATTCCTCTCCACCACCAAACGACAAACCTACTTGCTTTCATTCTTGACACCCAGAGAAGTGACTTTATGGCTTGTGAGTATGGATGCTGAATGCAGCTAGCTATAGGGAAGAGAGATCACTCCCACATGGTCACACAACTCCCTCGTATACCAGAGAGAAGGGCTGTTTTAAATGCTCCTTGCTAGGATTTTGCCTCTGTAACCCACTGGTCAGCATGCACTCTGTGTCCCATCTGCATCTTGAGAGCCTGGCAGACAGACTCAAGCTTTCAGTTCTGGAGGTCCCCAGTTCAACCTGGCTGTCAGCTAAGACGGCAGCCGCTGCTTATTCAAAGACTGCCTAGCTTTGAAACCTTCCCCTGGCAGCTGTACCCTGGGTTAGTAGGCTACTCGCTGCAGGCAGGGCTGGAATCAGTACTGAACAGGGCCTCCAAATCACTAGCCAAGGGAGACCCTACTTCCCACTACCCCGCTCCACGTGAGAGGAGAACGAAGCTTGTGAGGCAAGGACCACACCACAGCACTTGCTCCCTCAGCTCAGTGGCCAAGGAGCAAGGCAGGAAGGAGGGAGGGAGGGCAGCTCTGGGCCGCCTTCCCCAGCCATTACCCAACCGCACTAGGAGTGGGGGCCTCAGCCCCATCCCCATTCAGCCAGCGAGGCCAGAAGGGGCCTTGAGCGTGCCTATCCTCACTCTGCCAAGGGCACCGTTACAGAGCCCGGGGAAGTGCAGGAGGGGGTGAGGAGAGAACACAGATCTATGAAAAGTCTACAGGGGGCAACGGTGCCACTGGCAAATGACCCCCCGGAAAGGAGGATCAATAAGTGGAGTGACACAAAGAGGGGACAGCCAGGAAAGGGGATCAGGACTCAGCTAGCCCAGGGTACAGACGCCAGCCAAAGGTGGGAGTAGAAAGCACACTCAAAGGGATGAGGACACAGTAAATCCTAGAAGCCGCAGCAATAAAGTGCTTTGCCGAAAAGAAGAGAGCTGCACATCATTTTTTTTTTTTAAATTGCCAACCCAGCTAATTGTTAATTAGCCTTGGAACGGACAAAAAAGGCAGCAAACACAGCCTCTTCCCGGCATTTTTGATCCCTCTTCCCCACCATCTAAATGACAGACCCTTAAGAGCAAAGGAAAGGAAGACAGAAGGCGGAAACAGAAGGCCAAGGAATTTCCAAAATAAGGACTTACCTTTGCTAAATCTAACACCGCAGCAGAGAGCCTGGGATACCGTCTTTCAAGAGGTTCGACCTCCTTGACTTCCGGCAGCCTCACTCCAGCAAAGAGTGGATTTTTATAGAACAGCTCTTGATGCCTTGGAGTTAAGTTGCCTGGAATTGACAGGTGATATTGTTACGTTATCCACAAAGGCGTAGAGAAAGCTAAAAACGGACGACAACAGCTCTGCGCTTGATAGAAGACTACATGATGTTGCTGCCAGCATACATGACTGTTCCCCACTCTCACCCTCAGGTTCAGGAGGCCACTAGGGAGACCATGTAGGGTGCCTGTCGCTGGTTTATTTAGCTGCACTTCCCAAGGTACAGCCTCTTGAAGCTCCCGTTGGCCACGGATCGCCATTCCCGGCCAATGGGAGCTGTGGAAAGTGGTGCAGACCGGGATGCCACTTTCTACAGCTCCCATTGGCCAGGAATGGCGACGTGCAGCCAATGGGAGCTTGAAGTGTCTGTACTTGCAGAGGCGCAGGTAAATCAAGTGGCAGCGGCCCGGCAGGATCCAAGCCTGGTGAACTGTGCCCGGCCCAGTCACTGCTCACCACTGCAGTAGATGCACTGTCCCTTTAACAGTGGGCCCTTTGCCTATTGAAATGCACAGCCTAAGGGTGCCGTTAGGAACATGGCTGCTTCTGGGTAGCCAGGCAGCTGTGGTGGCCTAGAGAATTATTTTAAATATTCCCTTGGCAACAAAGCTATCAGATGCAGACAAGGCCACATCTAATGATGTAAGATGAGCATGCTTCTAACCAGTCCCCGTCAGAGACAGCAAAGACAACAGGTTGTGGTATTTTCGACTCTTGCACTGCTGTAATCAGGAACACATTTCCACCTTCCAGCCCGGGGAACGAGAGGTGAAATGAAATACCCCTGGGTGTCGTCACCAAAGCCCGGCAGGACATTTGTCCACATCACAAAACACACCCTGTTTTGGTCTAATCAGCCGCCTTTACAACTCTCTCCTGCCCCCGCGACTGACGCAGCCTGAGAGCATTAAGGCAAGAATCGGGGGGCTCCGTCAAGACGGTCCGCCAGTGTTTGCTTTGCTCCCAGTGCCGTCTTTTTCTCACGTACCACAAGCCTTTGCCAGCTAAAGACAGAAAAAAGCTGACACATTCTTACCCAGACACTTCATGATATGGTACAGCTGGTCGATGTCCGAATCCCCAGGAAACAAGGGCTCTCCTGTGAGCATTTCTGTGACCAGACAGCCAATGGCCCACACATCCACAGCTCTGAAAGAAAAGCACCCAAGACTGAAGCCAGCTTCGGCAAAACCATCTCAAGGCAGCTTTTTTCTGACATCTGAGCCCCAAGCAGAAGATGATCTGTGCACAGAAAGCCCCTGCAGGCTGCACGGCCCAACTCAGCATTGCTCGGGATCGCACATGGTTTTTGCAGACGGCCGTTTTCATTTTTAAACAGGCAAAGAAAAAAAGTGAAAATTTGTTTGATCAAAACCTTAGTTTCACAAATGAGACTGCGCAATTTCAGGTAACGTAACATGCTGTAGTGTTTTTCCCCTTATTAAGTTGAGCAGCTCTCTTCTAAATAGAAATTGATGGGATGTGTTCTCCAGAAGATGTATTTGCTGAAGTTGGATTTAAAGGTATATAGAGAGATAATATGCACGTACATTTTTAAAGAGGCATGTCAAACAGCATTAGAAATGGAAAGGGATGACACCAGGACTTTCCACACTGAAGTCCACAGGAGTACTGACCAAGTCTTCCGAATGGAGTCTCAATGCAAAGAAATCCAATAAATTCCACGTACACCCCCTGAGTAAGAATCCCCCACATATCTGTCAAAGTCCTAAGCAGACTACCCATCTAATTAGCATTTGCTTCCTCTATATAGCCTGCAGCCTTCAGAAGCCACAATGCTGTTAGCATCTTTCTGTCTGAAGACAATAGGAAGGGTCTATCTATCCATCTCTGGGTTTTCCATTGCCTTCACCCATCACTACAGTACCCAAGCAGCTTCCATGTAAAATCACTAGCAATAGTCAGAACCCCAATGGACTTTACTCTGGCTCTTCTCTCTCTTTTTTTTGTGTTACAGAACCTGTACTGGGGCAAAGTTTTGTTTCAAGGGGGAGGTGAGGAAGGAGTGCTGGTGCTAGCTACCACACATTTTAAGAGCTTGTCTGCATGTCTGTCTGTTCAAGAACTTCTCCTAAACAGCAAGGGCTAGGACAACCAAATTCAGACTACAGCTTCCTCTTATCATCACTTAAAGCAAGGTCAGGGTTTGGTGGTGCCAGGACAATGGGATGTGCTTAGAATGGGATTGCTTCTCATAAAACCATCCAGAAAAAGGACAGAATCACCAGGAAGGTGAAAGGGACTAGATGGGGCCATGCCACCCTCCATCCAGGACTGCCCCAGCCCTGAGCCTCCAACCCCCCAGGAGCCCATTAGAGAGGGCAGGGGTCTGAAGTCAGATTCATATGGGGATATTGCTGGCTGTTCTCTTCATCACTGTCAGGAAGCAAGGGAAAAGCGCACACACTTAATTTACTTAAGAACCCGAGCAACACAGGGTAAATATGCTAAGGTTATTATACATATGATGGAAAAGCCTCCCTGTAATTTGTCTGCAAAGCAGGGATAACCGTCTGCAAAGCAGGGATAATCCTCTGCACGCTCTTCTGCTCAGTTTCTTACTTGCCATACTTGGTATCTCCAACCAACAATTCTGGTGCTCTGTACCATCGCGTTGCCACGTAGTCAGTGTAAGCTTCACCAGGGGCTGCCAGAGTACGAGCGAATCCAAAATCACAGAGTTTTACAACCCCTGATTGGGAGATCAATATATTTTCTGGTTTGATGTCTCTGTGTATTATCTAACAAGAGAAGCAAAGAAGCAGAATGAAGAAATTCCTATTTCTACATCACGTGACAGTTTACATTCTGTAGACCTTCCCAGCCAAAAATCTAGTTCCATAGGGCGTGAGAGCTAAGCTTTCTCTTGAAGAGCAGACACCTAAGTTAAGTCTTCAAAAGACCTTCATGTATACACAATCAGTGCACAAAGTGTGTACCAAAATATGCAGGTGTGCACACAAACACCTACTTTGCATACAAAACAATCCTTTTGTACATGAAGTTCCTAGCACAGATATTTTAGAGGCATAATTTATGTGCCTGTTCTAGGAAATCTGACCTGGAACATTTATTTAAAGAATAAAAGTTGCAAGAGCTGTGCTGAAACATCACAGTGTTGTGGGTGTATCACCCAGCTGAAAAAAGAAATTCAATGCACTTACACAATAGCTATTTCCCAAATATGCAAGAACATGCTTCTTAACACAAAATTAAAATGAGAAACCTGTTGTCACAGGAAAGTGAATCAGCTATTTGGCAAGATTTAAAAAGAAAGTGGATATTTATAGGGACACTTGAATATCAAGAATTATCCTAATTAATACCAAACATTGTGAAGAGCTATTACACCTCATGTTTCAGGAATTAAATCAACCGTTAATTACTGGAGACCCAGATGAGATTTCTGTGAAGGGCAGATTACCCCACATCTGCCCACTACAAAGTCCTTCAAATCTTCCTCTGAAACAGCTGGTCACCACCAGGGACAGGATAGACTGAGAACTGAATGGAACTTGGGTCTGAGCCAACCTGGGAATTCCTATGAAATACGGTCACTATTAACAGTTGCATACTTTACTTATTTCTTTCTAGTTGCAGCTTTACTTAAAACAAGTATTTCAGCAGCTACTCAGCCATTCAAGTTTTTTTTAAATGCAAATTGAACCTCATCCATCTACTTACATTGTGACTGTGACAAAATCCTATTCCTTTTATAATCTGAAATAAATATTTCCGAACTCTACTGTAATCTAGTCCATGTGGAAACAGCTCCAGGTCATCGAGGAGTGTGTGGTCCACAAATTCAAACACCAGATACCATCGTTTCTTCTTCTTGCACACTTCTAGCAAATTCACCAGATTTTCATGTCGAAGTTGCTGTTATAAAACAATCAATACTTCATGAGCACATATCAGCATTCACCAGGATAACAAAGAGAGCTAGAGTCCGAAAGCTTAATTGCAATGCACCTGGTGTCCCAAACACCCTTTTATATTTGACATGACACTTGTGCTGATTTATGTTTAAAATTGGGTACTAAGGGTCTCATAAGAACAGACGTACTGGGTCAATCCGATGGTTCATCTAGCCCGGTATCCAGTGCCTGTCAATGGCCAGTGCCAAATGCTTCTCCAAAGAAAATAACTTTAATTTCATAAGTCAAAGAGGCCCATGTGTACATTTTATTATCATCAGAAAAAGCAAATGAGTAAGTAAACATCTATAAGGATGACACTGGGAATCTCATTATTGTATCCATAAAGGGAATTTCCAAAGCTCACCTTCCCCCTTTGGTACATAGTTCATAACAACTGGATTTAGATCTCTACAGTTCACGAGTCCTGCCCCTGTGAAGATAGCCAGTATTAATTTGGGCCCCAATCCTGCAAAGACTTCAAAGCGTGCACGAACATAAGCATGCACTTAAAGAGATTATTTGCAGTGTGTAAAGTTAAATATTTGGGCCAGGTCCTTACAATCGCACCCCAACCTGTCCATAGCAAGGATTTCTGCTCCTGCACAGGTGAACCAGAACCCCAAGAGATCCCCTAGTGAAGACAAGGGAGCTAGTTTTCACTGGAGAATTCAGTCACATTCGATCGCATCTTCAAGGCGTCACAGTAAATAACATGCTGCCAAATTTGACTTTGCACTCAGGGAAGACAGGGGCAGTTTCATTTAACCTTATCTCAGCTGGCCAAGAACAAACTTTACCAGACCCATAGTATTACCTGCAAACACAGTGTTAAACACAGTTTGCTCCTGTCATGACCAACATCGCTGTGGTTAGCCTGGCTCCTCTAGGCCATGTTCGAATGCAATCTAGCAAATACGAGCCTCATCTCTGCACAGTCATCCACCCCTGCCAGTCCCACAGGAGCGAGAGGCTACTGGTGTATACTTGCAGCTCTTTTAGAGGACCCACTAAAGGTAAGTGCATGTATCCGAGACTCACATGGTGAAAATTCTTCACCTTTGAGTCTTCCCCACATCTTTCAAAAAGATGAAGGAGACGATATGCTGACAAAATCATGCAATTCTTCTCCTCCACTCCTTTTCTTACACCCCTCTCTACTCTCAATGACAAAAATCTTGTCTATGATAATGTAACTTATAGAGCTGTGCCAATTCATCACCATTCTCATGTACCCAAAAGTGTTAACTCCATGCTTTTCCCCTGTGCAACAAGGATACTCTTTTCCCTCTGACTACATGGGGCCCAGAACAATGGGGCTCCAATGTCCAAAACCAGACATTTCCATAGAGTAAATATTTACAACCAGTAACATTAGTGCTGTAATGCCCTTACACTAAACATACAAAGGGATAGTTCAAACTTCAGCATTTTCCCTAAAATGTGGTTAACAATTAAAAAGGTTTCATTAAACTATGTCTTATCTGGCAGAGTGAGGTTAAAGAGTAACATGCCAAACAGACAAGGGCTCTGTGTTTTGTTTTGTTTTGTTTTGTTAAATGATGGTTTAGGAAAAGGGTCAGTCAAAGCAGCAAATGAAGCCATAGAGGTGTTTTCGCTACTCATTTTACCACCAGAGCCGAACTCTAAAGTGTCATATTTATATTAGCAGCTTATCTGTAGAGGTAACAAAACAAAAACCACAGTGTTAAAAGAGTTGTAATCAAGTTGCAGTTGCTAATATTTCTGAAAAAAAATTCAAGAAATCATACAAGACATTTTAAAGGTGTTTTATTTGGAAAGCTACTATACAACAAGGAACACCAAGCCCAAAACTCACAGTATCTTCTAGGGCCTTGTCTACACAAAGTCATATCACGTCACTCATGGTAGCATACTGAAAAAGGTACAATCCCTCTAGCAGGGATGCTGGTACACTAGTATGAATGGGCAAGACACCAGTCTTGCCCAGTATAGCCCCCTAGCATAGACTCAGCATAAACTGGCAGAAAGCAAAGTCTAAAGTGTGATGCTTGACACTGATAATTAGCAAAACAATAATGGAAGTTGTATATGCAAATGCAAGAGTTCAGGAACACATGCCAAATATCCAGTAATGCTCCAGTGCTATTAGCTGTTCTCCTGGGAAACAACTCCTTCTGGATCTTTATGGGTTAAAGGGTGTTGTACCTGATGGGCCTGGAAGGGGAAAATCATATGGGGATAGCTGAGGTTGAAGAGAGGGATGGAATGAGATTTAGGACTTTGGGCCACCTTGGAAGGTGCAAAAAGGCCACACAGTAGAAGAAATTCTCTCCAACTTTGGAACCGTGCATTTGATACTTAATGCCATGGTGGCAAATCCTGGTTTGGACAGACACCACAAGCATGGATTTCTAATCCTGGTCTACTAAAAAAGAACTTGAAAAACAAAGTAAAAACCCGATCAAATAAAGATGAAATGCTGAGAATAATGCATTCACTCTTTAATTCAGTATTTCACTTCACTTTGACTCTACTCATCAGTTTCGTAATTGGGTGAGCAGCTTAGTGGAGTCAGTAGGCTGTTAAACGAGATGGATTTGTTGTAACATATGGAGAGGAAATTATTTTTATTAGGTCTACCATACACAGCAAAAACCAATCAATCCATTTTGGTTAGCAGCATTTCACACCGGGGAGAGTGGCATCAAGCCTATTACATCAAGTCAAATGTTGGGTTACTTTTAGCAACAAATTGAACATGTGTTTCCTAAGACCAGAGAGCTGTTGATTGACAGATGGAAAAGTCGTATGGGAAAATTGGACCTTAAGTTTCATATAATTGTTATATATATATATAGGCTTCTGCCCTACATGGCTGTGCCAATATTCTAAGCAGAGTAATGCATTTTCAAAAACCGACACTTTTATAAAATTCACTCTGAACGTGATTCAATCCATCATCATAGTATTCCTGTTTTAACGAATAATATATTACATGTAGGTTATCCCACTTTGCACTACCAAAGAACCAAATATTGACAACAGCTAAACGCACAGCAGGATTTAGAAGGGATTAGAAATGCATATGGAGAAAAGAATATCCAGTGACATTAGACAAATCAAAGGGTTATAAAGCTGCATTGCAGTGCTTTGACATAACTCAACCACTAACTGATGGTCTTGGAAAGAAATTTACCCCTCTGGGTAGATTATTCCACAATTGTCCGTGATGTTTTCTTGTGCCTTCCTATAAAGCATCACATACTGGCCATTGTTGGAGATGAGATCCCTAGAGTCCTGCAAGGATACAAAATCCGAATCTGCAAAAACGATCCACGGCTATCTGCATCCACAGACACAGATAGCCCTGGATTTAAAGCAGATAACTGCACATCTGCAGAGTTCTAGATCCAAAATTTGCATCCACACCTGTATAAATGAGCCATGGATATCCACATCCACCGATGCAGATATCCACTGATGTAAAGCAGATACCTGAAGATTTATAGGGCTCCAGAGATCTCATACTAGGTATATCACTGCTCTGAAATTATACGCCAACTCCTTTGTTTTAACATACAGTTTCACACACTTGACAAAAACCTAAATCTACACATTTCTCGTGTGCTCCTTTACATCTCTTGCTGTCAGAAATCCCCTTTTTCCACTTGTCACATGCAGAGCGCCACTTCCAATCATCTAATACTAATGTGTGTCCAACAGGCAGATGAAGAGAATATCTGCCAAGAGCAGACCCTTAATTGCAGTCAAGGGGGAATCAAGTTTGCAGCTTCATTTGTGTCTTATTTCCTTTCACTCTTCCCTTATGAATAAAGAGCACACAAACACATTCCTAACAAACTCAGTGCCAGCCAAGAACAGCACCTAGCCAAACAGAAAGGTAACTCCCAGTTGATGTGGGCTAACTGCCAAATCTACCTACCATTGGTATTAAAAAAAAAAAACAGTACCTGACCATACCTGGATTGTTTCATCTAGATTGTTGCTATATTCTAAATGTAAACAGAAAATAACTTACCACTAGAAATTTATTTTTCCAAAAGTAATTCAGATTCTTAGCTCACAAATGTCCTGTAATTTCAATGCAGAGATGCTACTCATGGTTTAGCAAGGTTTAAAAATAATAAAAAAAAATAATAAAAAAGATTCTCTAATACACATTTTTAAAGACATCCAAGATTACAAGTAATATATAGTTATGCATTTTTTTACACGTAAATATAAACATGATAATGGATAATTACTAGCTTTACCATAGTTTTTGTACTTTTAAATTGTCTAGGGCTGAGAAATGTGACAACCTAAAACCCTGATTTAGTAAAGCATCCCTATTCGAGAAAATACTTATAATGCAGTTAACTGCTCTCCTGAATCAGGAGCTAAGACTTTTCTTCTGATCCCTGAAGGCTGAAGCTACTATATTACTCTATCTTCCCAGAAAAGACCCAACTTTCAAAATAAAGTAACCTGCACTTAAGTTTTTAATAGCACAATGTATCTAAGTAGATGGTATGCCTCTTATATACGGCTATATTTCTTAGAAGAAAGATAAATAAAAGAAACATCAAAACAACCATTTATACCAAACTGTTTCAGCAGCTATAAAACAATTTCCTAGACTGACACTGGGATTTACACTAAATGCATTTGTATATGAAAGTCATTGCTGCACACGCTGGGTAAAAATGGACCTTGCTTCTGCCAATTCCTGCATCTTACTCTTGTATGTGAACTCACCTTAAGCAGCTTGATTTCTCGCATGGCAATTTTTTTAACCATTTTATCATCCTCGCTTTCCAAAAACTTCTTGATAGCGACTATTCTTCCATTGTCTTTATTTCTGCACTTCATTACCATTCCATAGCTTCCTTCTCCGACAAGACCAAGGTTCTCATACTTTTCCATTGTAACCCAGAAACAGCTGTGTCTTTGTGCTGAAAGCCATAAACCATAATTAGCGCACACAACAAAAAGGTTTTCTTTCTTGATCAGTCTACATTTCTGACAAATTCTTCACTGCTTTTATGATGAGTCTCTTCCCAGCCCCCCACCAGCACACATATGTAACGATAACCTTCCCAAGCTGGGCTCTGTGATCTCCCAAGCATCCTTATGAGAGACTAGATTAAAAAAACAATGTAGCAGGGTAAGCATTTGTATTATGTTTGGTATCGCAGCACATTTTTTAATAGAAACAAAAGGGTTTGTGCAAGACAAAGTTAGAAGCCTGGACTGAAATTTGTAAAAGTGGTGACACTTATGGCAAAATAATACACTTATGTAAAGTACAAAGATTTTTGTTTTTATATCATTATGATAAACAGCTATTAATTTTATACATCCTTTGTTTCAATAAAAAATGTACTGATTAGAAAAGCAAATACAAATCTTCAGAGATTACAGTATACTTTTTGTAGCCTATGTTGAATGGCTGACGGAAACCTGTACAGAAGAGAATTGAAACTGACATTGTTCTAGGGAGAAAAGCAACCATTCATGTTGTCTTAATCACCAGAGGAGGAAGCAGGAAACTTTTTTCACCTGATAATTTCATTCTGATAATTTCTAACTGGCACTACTTCTTATCCCACTACCAAGCTGTCTCTTGAACATCACTACGAATCATTTCATTCAGTTTTCACACATTTCTGTTTAAATGAAACCTTAAGTAAGATGGTTTATGCAGTTATAATACAGCTCAGGTTTATCTCCTCACACTTGGTTTCTCATAAACTTGTAAATGGATCCAAATGGAGAAGTAAATATTTCAAAAATACCAATAAAAATAAGACTATGCAGCCAAGAATTTATAACAATAAAAAGTTATCAAACCCAGACAATGAAGGTTTAGATTGTTTCTTATTGCTAGGAATGAGCCTGCTCCTCCAGAAATCAATGAAAATTTTGCCCTTGACGTTAATGAGCCTAGGGATGTGCTATGATAACAGGTGAATGTTGTGCGCTCTGCTTTGGAAATGACAAACATTTACTGAATCTTCAATTACCTAAGGCAGGCAGAGGCTTGTGTTCGAGAATGTTAGTCTCAAAACGTGTGCCTCCCGCCTCTTCATGCTATAGTCCCTGGACCAGGAAATACATAAAACCACCAACCTGCTAAAAAGCTGAAGAAATCTAACATGGGTGAGAGGGAGCTGTGATACAGCCAACAGCAATGGGGCAACTGTCCGTCAGCATAGCATCCAAGTCCTTCACAAGTCGCTCCAGGCTCGATTTGCTTTCACCTCCAGCTCAGGAAGTCTGCAGCAATATGGAGGAGTTAATATCACAGTGGCTGAATTCACTCTTCCTCCTCCCCCAAAATAGATGCTGTACATGTGTGTTCCCAGGTACAAATCTCTCAAAGCCTTAATTAGAGAACCCCTGTAACCCTTCACCCCATACACTGGCTCCCAACCCTCTGCAGAGGGAGTCCCACATCACATCAGGTAACCTCCAGTCTGCAGCAATATGGAGGAGTTAATATCACAGTGGCTGAATTCACTCTTCCTCCTCCCCCAAAATAGATGCTGTACATGTGTGTTCCCAGGTACAAATCTCTCAAAGCCTTAATTAGAGAACCCCTGTAACCCTTCACCCCATACACTGGCTCCCAACCCTCTGCAGAGGGAGTCCCACATCACATCAGGTAACCTCCCCACGCTGTTCCTCCACCACTTCAAATGCAACACCCTCCCTCCCGGCCCCACACCAGCCTCCCACCCCAGTGCAGAGAAAGCCCCATCACACTTGCAACCCTCCCCCAGCCCCACCCCAGTG